ATACCATATAACTGAAAAGAGAATTCTGAAGTCTAAAAGTCTATTTAGTGAAAAACTCTAACAAACCGCACAAATTAAAGTTTTAAATAATTACCCATATAATGTCTTCAAATTAAAGTATTTCTAATTCCAATTATAAAGTTGTCATACTATCTCTGTCCCAAATTGATTTGCAAATTTGACTTTTTTTGGGTCAAACAGTTTCATTTTATTTGCTTAAGTAGGATGACAATTTTTAATTATATTCTAATTTGAAGTTTGCAACTTTGAAGGGATTTTAATATAGATTCTTAATATGTAAATTTTAATTATTAAAAATTGAATTAACTATCGATAAGGAGATTTAACTTTTATTATTGATTGACAAAAAAATGTTGACTTTGCAGAACAATTTGGGACGGAGGGAGTATAATATTTGGAAAGTCTTCATAATTTATCCCTCCCAATACTTTATCATGGGCAAAAGCCCATATTTTCCATGCTTGACCCACTGAAAATTGACCTATATGAATAGTGTGACTTTTTGTAAATATAAGCACTAACATACCAAGTTTAGTTTAAGTTGCTGAGGTTGCACTACGATTTTGAATTGACGGTCAATAAAATCAACAATTTTAAACGAATTCGTGAAAACGCAATCATGAGAAGGAATTAAATTGAAACAATAAATTGATCAAGCTTAATTTGGTAAAATCACAAATATATACAGAGTAATATTTTATGACAAGATGACAACGCATAGTACTCCATAAATTACATACTTTAATTGTGAGGATGCTAAGATAGAAATTTCTTCAATCAACTTGAGGGAGTGTTTGTAAGAATTAAAAAAACGTTTTCCAACTTTTGATTTAAAAAATGAAGTGAATGTTTTCAAATGCTCTACACTACTTTTCACTTTTTCTATCACACAAACATTTTTTACCAAACATTACCAACTTCAATTTTTTCAAAAACATTTTTTATCAAACACTACAAACTTTCACTATTAAACATCATCTCTAAAATCAATATAAAACATCAATTGTTAAAATCGAAGTAATAACAAACACTCCATTAATAGAACTTATGCGACAAGCAGCGATAACAATTAACATTGACTTCGTGTGGTAAAATGTTTTACTCCATCCGCCAGCGGGAGTAGCTCAACTGATATGAAAAGGGTGCCGTAAAGGATATTTCTTGAGTTTAATTTCAAGCGAAGGCTTGGGTCGGAACCTACTATCTCTTCATCAGTTTGTGATTGAAGCTCAATTTGCATCTCAGAGATGAAGTGTCATCCTTTCTTTTACTCCATGCGCCTCTATCCTCATCTTCTTACTTTTCGTCCGTCACTTTGAATTTGTCTTATACCGTATTTGATAATATTTAAATGATTGCAATTTAGCCACTCATTTTTATGTAATCTACTTTTATAAATAATCATATCGATCACCCACTCATGTCTCAAAATTAGAGACAAATGTATCATCATTTAGTGTATAGCCATTATAGAGGATCTTTATGAGAACACAAATAAGAGTAAATCATACATATTTTCTTGAATAAAATTGCCATTGTTTAATCATCGACACATCATTCATTCACGTATTAGGATTTTTAAAATTTTATGTTCTTTTAATAAAAATAAACAAGTCATACGTTGAGAATAAAATACTACATCCGTTCTTTTTTAATTGTAATAATTGACTTTCATGTTTGTCAAAAAACTATTTTGTCTGCCGTTATATTTAATTACATAGTAATAAACATTACACTCCATAAATAGTTATTAGTTTATAGTTTGGAAATTCAAATTAATAGAAATTTAATAGTATTTTATACATAATAATTTGATCATAGATAATAGTATAATCATGATCAAAGTAAGGCGTATGCATAGTATAAAAATGAAAGTATTGAAACTATTAAAGAAAGAAGTACAACGTATATTTAAACTAAAAAAGAAACTTTATAAATATTTTACTCTTATTTTTAACACTTACTTTTATACTAATTCCGTCCCACTCAACTCTGCCAAGTTGATGTTGATTGTGAAATTTGAATAGTAAAAACTGTATGAGTGAAATTATGTAAAGGAGAAAGAAATAAACAAAATCACTAATTCATTACTTTTAAAAATGTTATAATTGTTTTTGGAACAATCAAAAGAGAAAAGTTTGACATTTATTATCGTTTGAACACGGAGTCATCATTGCATTTTGAGAAAATGGTCAAATGAGATCTTCTACTATTATGAAATCATCACATAAGTCTATGAACCCAATAAAGTGTCGTATAAATACGTCTACTTATAAAAAAACAATCAGGTGAGTCATAAAGACTTGTTGACAACCTCATAATCCCGATTTTAGTGCACGTTTGACATTTGTTTAAAATAGATTATAAAGCTGACGTGAAATATGTGGCCAGAATTGGTTTAAATACAAGACACAAATAATGACATGTAAGCTAAAATATGGATTATGAGGTTGTCAACGGATCATTTTGACCCATCCGAATACTTTTTGTAAGTAGACGTATTTAGAGTATCTCCAATGCTATAATGTGCATAGTGCACATGTCGCATGAGTGATAGACACATAAATATTAGCATATAAATTATCTCTCTCCTTATTTGAATGATTTTATACAATTTTGGTAAGTTTTTCCCTGCAATGTCAACAACAATGTCAACATCTAGACGGTCTCCTTGACATTGTGGAGAAAAACTTACCAAAAATGTATAAAATCATTCAAATAAGGAGAGAAAGAATTATTTATTAATATTTATGTGGTCATTTCTCATGCCACATGTGTACCGTGCACATTTTACCATTGTAGATGCTCTTATATTACACTTTATTAAGTACATGCCATTATGTAACAGTAGAATACTTTATTTGACATTTTTCTCTTTCGTTTTCTTGTCGCACACACTAAAATAAATGGTAATAATGGAGTCCATAAAGAGTAATTATAAATTCCTAGGGAAGGAAAGGGAATTTGGTTAGTAAATTCCAAATTTGTTTTTCTGTCTTGCCCAAAACCGACTTGTGTCCACCACTCGACCAGATCATTACCACCTACCAACATGGAGTACAATCCACCTACCAGCACGGAGTACAAAATGCTAACTAGTATTGTTTGAGTACTTTTTTAAATGTTTTGCGCATGTGCATGTGTAAACTTGACAGTCTGATAACTGAAAAGAGAATACTGAAGTCTAAAAGTCTATTTAATGAACAACTCTAACAAATCGCACAAATTAAAGTTTTGAATAATTACCCATAAATTAAAGTATTTCTAATTCCAAATATAAAGTTGTCATATAATATTTGGAAAGTCTTCATAATTTATCCATCCCAATTCTTTATCATTTACCCTTTCATTTTAAATACACAAAAGTTTTATTGGTCATGGGAAAAAGCCCATATTGTCCATGCTTGACCTACTGAGAATTAGCCTATATGAATACCATGACTTTTTGTAAATATAAGCACAAACATACCGAGCTTAGTTTAAGTTGCTGAGGCTGTATTACCATTTTTAATTGATGGTCAATAAAATCAATGATTTTAAACGTATTCGTAAAAACGCAATCATGGGAAGGAATTTAATTGAAACCATAAATCGATTAATAAGCTTAATTGGGTAAAATCAGAAATATATATGAAGTAATATTTTATGACAACACATTAAAGTCCATAAGTCACAAACCTTAATTGTGAGGATGCTAAGGTATAAATTTCTTCAATCAACTTTAGAGAGTGTTTGTAAGAGCTAAAAAATGTTTTCCAGCTGTGACTTAATAAATGAAGTGAATGTTTTCAAGTGTTCTGCACTGTTTTTCACATTTTCTATCACACAAAATCATGTTTTTACCAAACATTACCGACTTCAAAGTTGGTAAAATAAAAGTGATAACAAACACTCCATTAGTAGAACTTATGCGACAAACAGCGACAACAATTTACATTGACTTCATGTGGCAAAATGTTTACTTCATCCGCCTGTCGGGAGTAGGTGAACTGACATGGAGAGGGTACCGTAATCTGTAAAGGACATTTTTGAGTTTAATTTCAAGCAAAGACTTGGGCCGGAACCTACTATCTCTTCACCAGTTTGTGATTGAAGCTCGATTGCACTCCCTAGATAAACTATCCAACCGCTTTCGGGGATAGGGGCTCAGGGATGGAGTGCCATCATTTCTTTTGCTCCATGCGTCCATATCCACATCTTCTTACTTTTCGTCTGTCACTTTGAATTTGTCATATACTATATTTGATAATATTCAAATGATTGCAATTCAGTCACTAATTTTATGTAGTATACTTTTCTAAATAATTATATCACCTACCCATTTCTCAATATTAGAGGCAAATGTATTATCATTTAGTGTATAGACATTATAGAGGATCTTAATGAGAACATAAAAAAGAGTAAATCATATGTATTTTTTTTTAATTAAATTGGCATTGTTTAATTCTCACACATCACTCATTCATGTATTAGGATTTTTTTAAATTTTATGTTCCTTTAATAAAAATAAACAAGTCATACGTTGAGAATAGAGCACCACGTTTGTTCTTTTATAATTGCAACAATTGACGTTCATGTTTGTCAAAACACAATTTTGTCTGCAATTATATTTAATTACAAAGTAATAAACGTTACACCATAAATAGTTCATACTTTGGAAATTTAATTGAAATTTAATAATATTTTATACATAATAATTTGATTATAGATAATATTATAAAATCATGATCAAAATAGTACGAATAATATAAAAAATGAAAGTATTGCAACTATAAAGAAAGTAGTACAACATATATTTTAAGTTTTTAACTAATAAAGAAACTTTACAAATATTTCACTTTTATTTTTAACACTTACTTTTATACTAATTCGGGCCATTCAACTTTAGCAAGTTGATGTTGAGTGTAAAAATTGAATAGTAAAATTGTATGATTAAAATTTGCAAAAAGAAAGAAAGAAACAAAGTCACAAATTCTTTACTTTAAAAATGTGAAACAAAATAATTTTTTTGAACAATTAAAATAGAAAAGTTTGATATACTACATATTTATCATCGTTTGAACATGGCCGAGTCATCATTTCATTTTCTTGTCACACACTCTACCTCAAATACTCCCCATAAGCAGTAATTACTCCGTAATAATTACAAATTCCTATGGAAGGAAAGGGAATTTGGTTAGTAAATTCCAAATTTGTTTTTTTGTCGTGCCCAAACCCGACTTGTTTCCACCACTCGACCAGATCCATTACCACCTACAAGCACGGAGTACAATCCACCGAATCAGACCGGGCCTAGTCCGACCTCCCCACACGCTGATTAATCAGAATAATCACCACCCCTTCTTCTCCGTCAGCGTTTCCTGCCCCTCCCCCTTCCAGTCTTCGACTAGAAATACGGCACGCCTCTTCATATGCTCTCCACGCGCCTTCTTCCTTCAGAACACCACCATTGCCAATCACCCCTCATTCTCATCGATTCGCCGGGGAAGAACTAAGAAGTGCGCATAAGCAAAAGTCATGTATATGAATCACGCCTCGCTCTTGCGCATCTCGTCCTCTTCCTTGTGCCGCCCTCGGTTGTTCTCCTCGTCGACGTTCTCTCTGCATCGGCCATCGCCTTCGCTGTATCAGCGCCAGTCGCGGCCGCTCAGTTTCGCTTCGGCTTTTAGGTCGCTTCGTTGCTCCGCGCCGAGGTGGAGCCACGGCGTTGGCTGGAAATCACCTGCTAGCCTCACTTCTCAGATCAGGGCCGCCGCCCCTGTTTTTACCGAGTTCCATCGGAAGATCGCTTCCATGGGTAGGTTTGTCTTTTCAGTATTTATTATTATTATTACACCGATTTGATTGGATGTCTCATACGACTTACGTAACCAGCTTGTTTTATACCCTGTATTTTGTTTATCATGTGATACCATTTCCGACTCACTGCTCATATGTACCGGATAAATGCTAATTTCATCGTTTATTAATGGCATGCCTGGATTTATTATAGTATAAAAATGTTGCTTTTTGAAACATTTTTTTAATATTTCATCATTAATTGCAAACGTAACCAACTATATGACCACTCCTAAAGTCCTAAGGATAAGATTTTATTATTATTTTATATATTTATTCATCTATATATCTTTGTTATTGGAATTTTGAAATTTGATCCGACATACTCAACTGATACTTCGTACGTAGTAATATTTTCCTTATCACCCATCACGAAATATTTCGTTTGATTTGTTTCGCTGGAAAGTTATTCCATTATCCACAACTGTGCATCGTTAGTGTGGTGGCAACTTTTTGATCTTTGATTGGACTAAAGGTAATCACGAATCTGAAGCTTTGTGTTAATGGCTTCAGCATCCGAGAATCCATTTAAGGGAATCTTCACAAGTCTCCCCAAGCCTGGAGGTGGAGAATTCGGAAAGTTCTATAGTTTGCCAGCTCTGAATGATCCTCGAATCGGTAATTTTCAATTTCCCCTATATTTACAGCTTTGATGAAAGTATTGTTTACTTATTGAACTGATATTAGTTATTCGTTTAGATTTTAGACTCATAGAACTTTACTTTTGTGAACTGTAAGCTAAATTGCTATGTGTAGCAGAAGAGCGAGGCTCTAGGTGCCCCTTGGTATCTTGAGTTGCCCCTACCTAAAGTGTTTCTCACATTGATAGTTTATTTTCACAACAGGGAATTTCCATACATTAGTACAAGGTCTACCCGAAATGCCTGTTGATACTTGGTATGACATGGCATATTAGCGTAGGGCCATGCAATTAATGAGAAATAAGATTTATTAATTGTTAGCCTATTAGATTCTCATAATTGAATGTATTTTTAAAAACATTATTTTGTACCAATTCTAAGAAATGATCTAATGACACTATGATTACGGTGCTGTACTCTATCCTAACCATTTTTTCGCTCTCATTTGCATGAAGATAAGCTACCATACTCAATTAGGATCCTTCTTGAATCTGCTATTCGCAATTGCGATAACTTTCAAGTGACAAAGGAAGATGTTGAGAAGATTATTGACTGGCAAAACACTGCTCCTAAGCTAGTGGAGATACCCTTTAAGCCGGCCCGCGTGTTGTTACAAGTACTCTTTTAGACTTCAGTCTTCCATCCTTAAATGTTCATTACACTGCAAAAAGTGGTTTCACATCATTTAGTTTTTTCTTGTTAGGACTTTACTGGGGTCCCAGCAGTTGTTGACCTTGCTTGCATGCGTGATGCCATGAATAAGCTAGGAAGTGATTCCAACAAAATCAACCCCTTGGTAAGCATAATTTTGCCCCCCTACGCCAATGCCTCTCAACTTGTTGAGTTAACACTATTTGGTTGTCTTTATTTATAAAAGTTTTAGAAAATGCTACTGTTTAACTCTTTTTTTTTGTTAGTGCATCTCCCAAGACAGTTTAGAAATGATTGTAAGAAATAAAAAATTCCTTCCACTATGCTTAATTAAGAACTAAATAAAACCCATTCACAGTTTAGAACAACTAAGCACTAAAATAGTTCCTTCACTATGCTTGATTGTAAAAATTTTCCATGCTAACATTCAACATAAGAAAACCAAAAACAGTCAGAAATATATTTCAGAAAGGTCTAAAATCCCTTCATGGAGTCTTCACTGATTTTGCAATACCTTTAGAGTGCGTCACTATGTTTTCACTCCCCTATCCTCAGCCATTTGATTTTGTTTTATTCTATTATAATCCAGGTTCCAGTGGATCTTGTTATCGATCACTCAGTTCAAGTGGATTTTACAAGGTCAGAAAATGCAGTTAAGGCTAATATGGAACTCGAGTTCCAGAGGAACAAGGAGAGATTTGCCTTCCTAAAATGGGGTTCTAATGCTTTCTCTAATATGCTTGTTGTTCCCCCTGGTTCTGGAATTGTCCACCAGGTATTAGAGTTGAAAACTTAAAACTTAAAAATCTAGATGTAACTCTTCTCATGTTGTTATTTATCACTCCACACTTTTTGCAATTTATAGATTATAGACGTATAGTAATTCTTACATCTGTCGATGCACACTCAGTCAAGCCGATGCTAATCTTCTCATGCTACAATGTTGATGGACTTGATGCTCATTTATTCATGCCATTGTCTTGGTTTTTGATGAAAAGGATCTGAACTTATGATTGTAGTTCTTGGTTTGAAAAGAACTTAAACATTGGGAGCTAAGGTTTCCTGTAACCTTTTACCCCGTAGGATTTTTATTTCCACTTTGCTTTTATAATTCAAATCTAGTGCCAGAACAATACTGAAAGTCTGAAACTGACTTAGTTCAAATCTGTCCAGGGCCAAGTATTTGGTCACCCTAAAGCATCATCCTTGTGTGATGTCCTTTTTTCTGTCTGCGTTTTAGCCCTGGCAACATTTCAGGTGCTATGTCTGGAGTTGACAATGGTACTATTTTCAGGTGAATCTTGAGTACCTTGGGCGAGTTGTCTTCAACACCGATGGGGTACTTTATCCCGATAGTGTGGTTGGAACAGATTCCCATACGACCATGATTGATGGACTAGGTGTTGCTGGCTGGGGTGTTGGTGGTATTGAAGCCGAAGCAGCCATGCTTGGCCAGGTAATTTAGCTACCATTTCATTCCATGGATGCCACATTTCTGAAATTACCCCTTGAGTTTTCGTCATACACATAGATTTTGTTGTTGATACTTTGTAAAAAATAATTTCTACTTTCAAAAAAATTGTGACCAGGTGCGACACACTTTTAACTTGTTAAATCCGTAAAATGAAATACAAAATATCTAAAGTGAATCCATTTGTTCAATTTTTCCTTGGTAGCATTTTCAGAGCTCTTCTCACCCAACTTGTGATGGTTGTTTTATAGTAGTTCATAAATGCGAGTACTATCATGCATCGCTCAACTGCTTATTCTGGCTCTCAAACTGCTTCCCATTCACATATTCTTTGTTGCCACCACCACGACCACTTTTCATCTCGAGCCCATATGTCTCACTTATGTATCTGTGCATTTATTTTTCTAACAATATATGCCAAGATGCATCTAAATTTATTAGTGTGCTTGAGTTAAAATCATCAGATTCATTGCCTTAAATCTCCTATGCGATTTGTTTCCATTCTAACAGCCAATGAGCATGGTGTTGCCTGGAGTTGTTGGCTTCAAGCTATCAGGACATTTACAGAATGGTGTGACAGCGACAGACTTGGTTTTAACTGTTACTCAAATGCTAAGGAAACATGGCGTTGTTGGAAAGTTTGTTGAATTCCATGGTAACTTTTCTTACCATTAATGATGGTTGAGCCTAATCGTTCACTTTTGAGAAGTTCCTTGAAATGGAATCCCCATTGATGTTTGTTTCAGGTGATGGTGTTGGTAAGTTATCATTGGCTGACAGAGCAACCATTGCTAACATGTCTCCTGAATATGGTGCCACAATGGGATTCTTCCCTGTAGACCATGTGACGTTGCAGTACCTAAAATTGACTGGGAGAAGTGATGAAACAGTAAAGTCTTTAAACATTAAGTCGCGTGTGATGCATTGTTATATAACTATGTCGCGTGTTGTTTCTGGATGTATACTAAGTGCAACTTTGAAAATAGGTGGCAATGGTTGAAGCATATCTTCGCGCAAATAACATGTTTGTTGATTATAATGAGGTAGACCTCATCTTTGAAATTATTTTAAGATTCAGTACATATCTTTTTTCATCTTTCTTACAATGTCTAAAAACTTGTATTTCCTGTTCAAATTTCAGCCTCAACAAGAAAGAGTATACTCATCATCCTTGCAACTAGACCTTGCAGATGTGGAACCGTGCTTGTCTGGGCCGAAGAGGTATGACCTCTGGCATCTGAATAGTATATGTTACACCTGCTTGTGTTTGTTACAACTCACAATCAATGAATCAATCAAATTGAATAGTATATTTGGTACTTAATAAATTATTCTGCTTGTCATTGCATCAGACCACACGACCGGGTGACACTTAAAGACATGAAGTCTGATTGGCACTCTTGCCTTGATAACAAAGTGGGATTTAAGGTGATTGTCTATTTTGATAAGCTTCTGAAGTGTATTTATTATTATTACTAAGAAAAGAGTGCCATTAATTTTGTTAGCATTAGTACTCCTATCTTCTTCACTCAATCCTTAGTACTCCCTCCGTCCCGCTAAAATTGCCACATTTCTCCTTTTTGGGCAGTCCGACTAAGATTGTCGCATACCTAATCTGGTAATGTTTGTGTGGTTTTAAATCGTTCTTACTATATTCTTACTTTTATCAATTCAATACCCACAACATAAACTTACTTTTTTAATGACCGCACCACCTCCCCATGTACAAAACTTAGGGGGATGGAGTTAGTAATTACTAAGCCACCCCCTTTTTATTTTTCGTATTTTCTTATTGAAGGAATATTTATGTTAAACTGATTCCATTTAAAAATTTAGTTCTTTTGGCTCTTAAAAAGCTAACATTTTAAGCAATTTTGTCACCCAATGCAGGGTTTCGCTGTGCCAAAGGATGCCCAAGAAAAGGTTGCCAAGTTTTCCTTTAATGGACAGCCTGCAGAGCTCAAGCATGGTAGTGTTGTGATTGCTGCTATTACAAGCTGCACGAATACCTCAAACCCCAGTGTTATGCTTGGAGCTGGGCTTGTTGCTAAAAAGGCTGCTGAACTGGGCCTTCTTGTATGTTTTTTTATATACATGATTTTAACCACTTCAGCATTTTGTCTTCTCCTTATTCTTACTGTATGCTTCTTTTTTATTCACTATATCAGGTAAAGCCATGGATTAAGACAAGTCTTGCTCCAGGATCTGGGGTTGTTAAAAAATATTTGCTTCAGAGGTACTCCACACTTTTCTTATGGAATCAGTTCTCTTGTACCTCTAATCCTTTATATTCTAACTTTATCTGTATGTTTACACACAGCGGTCTGCAGAAATATTTGAATGAGCAAGGGTTCAACATTGTTGGATATGGCTGCACAACCTGCATTGGCAATTCCGGTGATCTAGATGAGGCAGTTGCTTCTGCAATATCAGAAAATGGTATTGTGTTAAGCGCTCTTTGGTTGCATTAATATGCTTATCCTTTGGTTGAAACCAATATTACCAAACACTTTTCTTTTCAGAAAATTCAGTATACAATTTTGGCACTTTATTTGTTACTTTCAATTTTCAAATGTCTAGATGTTGCTATGAGAAAGTGTCAACTGTCTTTACCTCTGCGTAAATGAAAATTATTATTCTAATTAAAACATCTGCTGTGTTCTGTAGATATTGTTGCAGCCGCTGTTCTTTCTGGTAACCGGAATTTTGAGGGCCGTGTTCATCCATTGACAAGGGCCAATTACCTTGCTTCACCTCCTTTAGTGGTTGCCTATGCACTTGCTGGGACGGTTAGTCTATAGTTTTCTGTTGGGTCATGGTGTTATTTTCATTTCTTTTCGTTTTTTGTCCTCCATGCTGTAAAGTTGTTATGGACATATTCTAAAAATCTGAGGTTTAAACGTTTAAGATCTAATTGCCAAGCGAATGTTTGTATTTCAGTTAGGCAAAAATCATTTTATCGAAAATACATTCTTAAAAATTCAGTTTATCGGAAGTACATTTTTCAAAAGCTAATTGGTAAAAATTACTTATGGCCATCTAATTTGTGGTTGGTTATATTTTTGAAAAACTGAATTTGATAAAGTAACCTGAAATTTGTTTTGATAAAGTTAAGTTAAAGGGGTAATAGCTGTTTGAACTTTGAAGTAACCTCAAACATGTTTTGAAAATGAAAATTATGTTAAAAGGGTTCAAAGGTAAATTTACTTTCAGAAAGAAACTCAGATGAGCATTTGTCAAACTTGGTTTTAGAAACTTTAAGAAAGCACTCTTTGAAATTGAAATCAAGTATACAAACATCATTTGAAAAACCGAAAGCATTTCTAGACATCCAAGAGTTGTAAGTAGTTTCTGTTCTACTCTGCAACAGTTAGTACAATGCTTAAGCTGGGCCACTTTTAAATATAGTCCCGGAGTTCTGCCGGAAAGGCACATACATTAAAGGGATAAGTACAAAAAAGGTACTTGTGGTTGTGCACATTTTCAAATAGGGGTCTGGGATTCATTTTTTCACAAAATAGGGCATGTGTTTGCAATTTAAGTTTTTCCGTCTAAACGCTGTAAAAAAGAAGGCGACGTGGATGTATAAAAAAGTGACACTTCACCTTCTTTTTGATGGAGTTTAGACTGAGGCCCCATGGGTGATAATGGATTGAAAACACATGCCCCATTTGTGAAAAAATGAACCTCAAACTCCTATTTGAAAATGCGCACAACCACAAGTACATTTTGTATACTTATCTGTACATTAAAAGTGGTAGGTACCTAATGTGCTGAAAGTTTTGCGACCCTAAAATTGGGTGGAGATGTATGTTCAAATTCAAATTATTCTGGACTCCTACTCTGCTCACTTTCTTATGCATCTTCATTTATAAAACAATATATGTCTATCTTGTTTAGTTTACCTTTGTCACTATGAATGGTGTTCAGACAAATTTTTAATACAAGAATTTGATTTTCCAAAAAATAAATTACCCCTCAGCTCCAAAAGAAGTTACTCATTTGCCTTTTTACTGTTCCCCGATAAGGTTTCAATTATTTTGGATAAAAAATAAATGGCTCCAAAGAGGGGTTTCTCACCTCCAACGAAATCCCTAAAAATTGGTGCCAAAATCTTATGGAAACCTATATTGAGATCTGTGAAGTATGATTTCCTAATGTTTTGTTTGAGTGGTGGATTTTTGAGTGCTTAATCTATATCTTGGCATATATTTGAGATTTGATAAAAATAGAAAGATTAACATTATGTTGAGATCATACTATCGTGTAACTTTTCAGTCACGTTTTATTTGTTTGATATAAGCATTCCATCAAAACAGGGACCTAGTATCTTGACTGATATGAGTTGTTTCTGGCTCAATTGCATACAGGTTGATATTGACTTTGAGAAAGAACCAATCGGGGTGGGGAAGGACGGTAAGGATGTGTATTTCAGGGATATCTGGCCAACAACAGAGGAAGTTGCTGAGGTATGCTTTCCGTCTCCAATTTCTCTTCTTGTTGAGCTGACATCAGCAGATTGAGCCATGACATGATCAATTTATCTCATATAGGCTGTCCAGTCCAGTGTATTACCTGACATGTTCAAGAGCACATATGAAGCCATCACCAAGGGGAACCCTATGTGGAATCAATTATCTGTCCCAGAGTCCAAACTGTATTCATGGGACCCTAATTCTACATACATCCATGAGCCGCCATATTTCAAAGGCATGACGATGGATCCTCCGGGGGTCCATGGAGTGAAAGATGCATATTGCTTGTTGAACTTTGGTGATAGTATCACGACAGATCATATCTCGCCAGCTGGGAGCATTAACAAGGACAGCCCGGCTGCCAAATTCCTCCTTGAGAGAGGTGTTGACCGCAAGGACTTCAACTCTTATGGAAGCCGAAGAGGTAATGATGAGATTATGGCAAGGGGTACATTCGCCAATATACGTCTTGTGAACAAGTTGCTGAATGGTGAAGTTGGGCCAAAAACCGTTCACGTTCCCTCTGGCGAGAAACTCTCTGTTTTTGATGCTGCAATGGTAGTTTGAAATGCCAAAAGCATTTTTCTTGCTTATGTTATGTGGTAGACAGATCGGCTTAAAAAATTCTAATGTTATTTTCAGAAATACAAGTCTGAAGGGAAGGACACTATAATCTTGGCAGGAGCAGAGTATGGAAGTGGTAGCTCTAGAGATTGGGCCGCCAAGGGCCCGATGTTGTTGGTCAGTAATTTCTCATGCCTCCTTTTGTTAGTCCACTTTTTTTTATAAATATAAGGTTCTGTTTGGTAATAAGTAAGTGCTTTTCACTTTTGACATTTGCTTATTTTTTGTATCACAAAACCCAACATTTTTCCAAACAAAGAATCCCTACCCAAAGGGGCCCTAAGAATTATTAAGAGATCCTACTGATGATTTTAAATTTTAACAGGGAGTGAAAGCAGTTATAGCGAAGAGCTTTGAAAGGATTCATAGGAGTAACTTAGTTGGAATGGGGATCATTCCTCTGTGTTTCAAGGCTGGGGAGGATGCTGACTCGCTTGGGCTGACCGGGCATGAGCGTTACACGATTGACCTTCCGTCCAGCGACATCCGTCCAGGTCAGGATGTGACTGTTAGGACAGACAATGGCAAAACTTTTACTTGCACCGTTCGCTTTGATACTGAGGTATCTCTCTCTCTCATCTATATTTGCTTTGTGTCAAAAGGAATAAAATGAGGGTAATGATTGGTGGCATAACAACCTTGTACAACAAAATATCTTGTTCACACAGACAAGATTGTATGCATATGAGAACAAAAAAGCATATAAAAAATATTCGCAATATATTTTGTTCTCATTGACACAAACGTGCAGAGACAAAAGATTGCCTGACAAAGTCGTGCTGTAGTGTGTTGTACAAAAGCATTTCCTCATTAAAGGGATTTTGGGCATGGAAGGATTTTGGGCATGTAGTGTGTAATATGTATCAGTTCCAAAAATCAAATCTTGTTGCGTTTGTTACAGGTGGAGTTGGAGTATTTTGGGCATGGAGGGATTCTCCCATACGTTATTCGCCAATTGATCAGGCAGTGAAGTTACAAGGATTTGGTGCTGATGCTTTGTAAAACATGAAAGAAAATAAAGGAGAATACATCATATACCCACCCACACCCACAATCACATATTGAGCAGCAAACTACTCGGGTGTTTCTTTGTCAATGAATTAATTGATCTTGCAATTTTGTTACTAAAAATTAATCATTTTTTTCACTCCTCTACCCCATTGATATGGGAGTGAAAGTGTAGTAACATTTAATCTTTCTGGGTTTAAATTCAACTTCTTAGTATAGTGACAATGTTTCACGTTTTTGTTTTTCAAAATAGATTAACATGCTTGATTGTGACAGCTACAGAAAAGGCTCTACAGTCGTAAAACCATACAAGATACAAACACTATGCAGGCGGAAGAGTAAGAGATAGAGGTGGACTGGGCCCGGGCGGCCAGACTAGGTACTGGTACTGTTGGTACCGGTCCGGGCTCAGTTTTCCGATACTGGTACCAACTTGGGACCCGGACCGTGGGCAGAATGGGTTGGGCTTTGAGCTTGATTTTTTGGGACCGGCCGGGCCCTGTGTGGGCCCAATTGTTACCTTTTCATTTTTTTAAATAGAGGGTGGGTCCAACCTGGGATCAACTCGGACTAGTATTGTTTGGGCCAGGACTGGTACTGGACCAAATTGGATCGGTACCAAGCTTAACTTTTCAGTTTTGGACCCGCCGGGCCTGACCCGAGTCCAATCCTAGTAAGAGATAATAAAAGATAAATCTATAAAATACTCCATATTTAAATACAAAAATTATATTTAACATACGTAATATATTTTATTAATTATATATAGTGAAAAATTATACAATAGTCTCTATATATTTATAAGATTAAAATATATGGAATAATAGTTTTTCTCAAATAAACATTTTCCCCAAAATACCACTTATATTCCTATGTTAAGAAGTTTTTTATTTCTATTTTTTAATATGATTAAATGTGTTCTACTTTGAGAAAAAAATGTTGATTCTTAGTTTGGAATATATTGTCTATATTTCAGCTTTCTTATTTTGATAGACACTCATTTTTATACCATTGTGTTATATTCATATATGATCTTTACATAATCACTCATTTTTAATTTTTATAGTGAGAAACTGAGAATTCCACACTAAAAAAGAATGACTGATATGATACCACACATGATATATGACTCTAGTGGAATATGTCTATAAATTTTTACCTATTTTGTACAATTTCATATTTAAAAGTAAAGCTTAAGTAAATGTTCCTCAACAAAATCATTTGAATAAGTAAAAAAGTAAAATTAGCTTTATTTATTTTAATTATTACAATATACTATTTTATCGATAGAGAGTTCTAATTTCTGAGAAAGAGTTAATAGTAATTCTTTTAAAATATCAACTCAAATAACTATACAATTCTACTCTAAAAAAACTATAAAATTCTATTTATAGTTGTACATCATATAGATTTGAATACAATATTTAAGATATATTATAACATTTGAATTATGATATCAATTTGAAAATTTCAATTCGGCCTAATAATATTGATGGATCTCCGATCCTGGGGTAGGCGAAATCTGGGAATAGAGAGGTTGAAAGTGCTAAGTTAGAGGTGAGTAAAAAATTGGGCAAAGAAACAACAAATATGTGCAAGAAAATTGTCTCTGATCCCTTTCCACAAGCTGGAATGTGATATTCATGCTAACTACAAGGAGAAATACTTGGCCAACAAGCAGAAATGTACTAGTCTAATTGCATGGTGGCATTTAAAGTTGATTGGAGAGATAACTTGGACAATTACCTAATTGGTATTGTGTGTAACATAATTGTCCTTTGTGTAACACACGTGTACGCTGCACGTGTGCAATCCTTAATATTCCCATGTAATCGTCTGGATGACGTAAACTTAAGACAGCTGTCTCATGGGTGATGTGGCCGCGGTTATACGCGGGACTTGGGTGCTGAAATGTTAAAGTCCATAATCTCTTTACGAGGCCCTGAGCTCAGCATATGAGGTCGAGCTTGGGCACAATGTGCTTGTTTGAAGAGGAGCAACCTCAATCCGTTGTTTTCCAGGTGGAGGTGATTTCTTCGTTCTGTTGGCTTCTAGAAGCACCAGTTGACTTCAAGCTCAGTTATTATGCTGGATACTATGTACACTGACCTCGGCGGGGGTCAACCTCAGCCTCAGACGCAGTTTTTGCCATATCTCTATAATATGCGAGTTGAATGTTGGCCGACCTCGGCGAGAAATGACTTAGTACTTCCGAAGATTATTTATTCGTGCATGTTGACACACCTGGGGTATACGAGAATGTACTCGATCATGAGTCTCCCACTCTCTGAAGCGAAAGTCACACATGAGGTGATAGAGAATAATATTCTTCAATCTTCATTGGTACGCCCGTCGGGGGGCACTTCTCTCCATGGTCACAATAAAGGGGTATCTCATTAAAAACTCTGCCAAGGAAAAAATCATGTGGGAAAAAATCCTAACGAAAAAAAAGAGTACACTCTGCATTGAGGCAACTTCCGGAGAAGAATTGAAGGCGACACCTCGCTGTGAAGGAGTTGAGCTTGAGCTTCGTGTTCCAATATTAAAAGTAAGCTTCATTTCATGTTCCTGCAAGTTTGTTGCTACTTCCACGTCCACAACCCTAGGGTTGACACAAAATTTTCAAAATCCTTAAGTAAAATGACGAACTCAGTATGATAACCGAGGTCTGTTGACGTATTCTGAGTTGAGTTTGAATTTCTTCTTAATTTGTGGTTGTCACTTTTTTGCCCGAGTCTCCCACTCTTGGGGCCCCTATCGACGCTGTGCCGGTGACAGAGAGCCCCTCAGGGAGCCTGCTAGCGAGGATGCCAGCCTATTGTGTTTTGAGAACAACAACGACCACCTCTTACCGCGACGCCACCAAACCCGCCGGCTGGCGTGTAGGAGAAAGAGGGTATACCATTGGACCTGGTTGTGAAAACCCATGGGATCTCCACCGATCCCACTCTTAGTGATTATAACCTTGAGGCCACTGGGGAAGCTTGTCATGGAGCACCGTCTGCTGCTCCAGCCGCTGCCTGGGACCGCATCGTTGGTAAGATCTATTGCAACCAGAGATGAGGACGCCAACCGCTGCAGAGGGGTCCAAACGAGAAACTATGCAATTGCCGCTGCGTCCCTGTTTTGGGAGAGCTGATGATGAGGATCAGGAAAGTTCCGTTGGATCTGGTGGGAGAGATCCATGAGAAGTGAGGCATTCTGCTTGCCCCTAGCAACCCTCCTCACGCCAGAGGTGTCGGTTGTCTCCACATAAGGCTCTGGCTGAGCCAATAGAGTTGGTGCGCACTTGTTTCTGGGTGCACGTTTCACCATTGGTGTCATTGAAGAAACTTAGTGTAGTAGAAGATCTAAGAAATTAGGGAGGATGTAACGTGTTTCATAGTTCATCTCCTAACGAGAGCACCAAATAACGGATCTTCGACCCTGGGGTAGGCGGAATCCGAGAATAGAGAGTCTAAAAGTGCTAAGTTAGGGGTGAGTAAAAAATTGGGCAATGTAACACCAAGTATGCACATGAAAATTGTGTCTGATCCTTTTCCACAAGCTGGAAGGTGATATTTATACTACAAGGAGAAATACTTGGCCAACGAATAAAAAATGCTATTCTATTATGGTGAAGACATGTGTATTAGTTGGCCAACAAGCATATATGTATGAGTCTAATTGTATGGTGACAAATGTAAAGTTGATTGAATAGATAACTTGATCAATTGGTTGATTGGTACTGTGTGTAACAGAATTGTCCTTTGTGTACCACACATGTGTACTCTGCACGTGTGCAATCCTGAATATTCCACTGTATGGAGCTGAATGACGTAAGCTTAAGATAGCTGTCGCATGGGTGACATGGCCGCAGTTATACGCGGACTTGGGTGCTAAAATGTCTAAGTCCATAATCTCTTTATGAGGACCCGAGCTCAGTAGGTGAGGTCGAGCTCGGGTACAATGTGCTTGTTTGGAGAGGAGGGACCTCAGTCCAGTGTTTGTCAGGTGGAGGTGAATTCTTCGTTGGCTCCTAGAAGCGCTAGTTGACTTCAATTCAAGCTCGGTTATGACGCTGACCTCATTCTCGAACGAAGATTTGGCCTTATCTCGATAGTCTGGGAGTCGAATGTTCTACCGATCTCGGCGGGGCCGAGCTCGACCTCGGCGGGGCCGAGCTCGACCTCGGCGGGGCCGAGCTCGACCTCGGAGATTATTTCTTCGTGCATGTTGACACCCCTGGGGTCTATGAGAATATACTCCATCAATTATACCTCTGTGTCCTATTAAGATTGTGTAATCTTTTCTTTTGTGTGTGTCTCACTATAGTTATTTCATATCAAGTTCGATAACATTTGTATGATTCTATACTGTTTTTAGTTTATCCTTATTCTATTAATTCAATACAAATCACATAAATTCACTTTTCTTGAGAATTGTATCCTGCCTCCTTACAAAAAAGATGTCACCCATCCCTTTGAGCTCATAAAACCGATCATGGAGGATGCGAATTGATCATGGAAAGAGAAGAAAGCGAGGTTCTATCCCAAGTCTCTAATTTTGGTTGAATCTGAGACTTCTCCAGGTGAGTTTTGCCCGGTACCATATCCCCTTACCGATATTATGGGTGTGATGTAAGGTGTTTTTAGCTATGTTTAAAAAACCGACCCGACCCGACCGGGTTGACCCGGAACCCGGTGACCCGGACAAAAATCCGGTTCGGTTTCTTCAAAACCCGAAAATGGTCAAAAACCGGAAAAACCCGGCTTACCCGAAGAAAACCGATCCGGACCCGACCCAAGAAACCCGAAAAACCCGGGAAAACCCGGTTTTCGGTGTTTTCCAAAAAAAAAAGTAATTTCTTTTTTAATTTTAATGCATTTTTTAAACCAATAAAATTGCAATTTCAATTCCCTAAAAAGAAAAACTATGTAATATATTTATATATTTATTTAAGAATGAAAATCATGCCAAATTATAATATAAATGTACAATACAAATAAAAATATATAATGACAGTGTATATAATTATATGTTTATTATTATTATATAGACGCATAATCGTTGACCGGTTTTCCGGCTTTGACCGGGTTGACCCTCCGGGTCCGGGTTGACCCGTGACCCAGTCACATGACCGGGTCGCTCACCGGTCCGGTTTTTACAACATAGGTTTTTAGTTGAGCTATTTTCAATTCCAAATAAGACCAAATCAGATTTGAGTAAATAAGACTTAGAGCCCGTTTGGTAGCACCAAAATCGGCTGTTTTGGCTGATTCTGCTGAAATTTATGATATTCTGGCTGGAGTGGCTGTTTTGGTTGATTCTGCTGATTTAAAAAAAAATATTTTAAAAATATATTTTATTAATAAATTAAAGAAAAAATTATATGTAAAAATAGCTAAAATGGTCCTCTACAGTAACTTCAGCCAATACAGCCAGAAAAGTAACTCTAACCTTACTTTTTCGGCTTATTACACAATTAAGCGCGCGAAAGTAAAAGTTACGTGTTTGGTGAAAAAACTGGCTGATAAGCCTGATAAGCCGAAAACAGAGTTCTCCAAACGGGCTCTTAATTATAAATCAGATCAAATTTTTTTTGTCCAATTTGAAAGATTCCTGCTGATTTTCAAAATGGAACTAGCACAGTACGGAGTAATGGGAATTTTTCACAAGTAGACTAAAAAGTATAAATAATATCATTTTTTTCACTTTTAAAATCTGTTTTCAAAACTAGCTTAGTCAAAGTTTTCCTTTCAATTTTAGACTCTAAGCCTGTGACAAGCATCCGGCGTTAAAAACCTGATCATTGCACGTATTGACGTATTGTTAACCTTTGCACGTATGTTTTTTAATAAAACCTTTGATATTCACTCCAGCAGAACTGTAGAAGTGTTGTATTCAATCCACTGGAAGTGTTGAATTCAAAATAAAATCATAATAATAAGTGCTGCAAATACAAAAGTGCCATAAATTAAAAAAAAACTAAATATTGAGAAAACTTGTTTTTTAAATAAATATTAGCTACATTTGAAATACTAAAAAAGGAAAGTGTAACGTATTATTAAAAAAAAAGATATAGAAGTAGAAAAATTTATAAAATCAAAAACTTAAAAATTTCTATATTTGCAGAATTCTAAAAAAAAACAGATTTTAAAAAATGATGATGCAAAACTAATTTCGGAATTAAAAAATGTAAAATGATAAAAATGTTTTGAAACTATTAAAAAGGTAGGAAAAGTAATTATATTTTTATGAAAGAGTAATTTGTTTTGTAAACCGGAATTTATACAAACTAAAAAGTAAACAAATATATAACATTAATATTTATGTATAAATATAATCTTAAAATATTCAAAAAAAAAATCCAGAATAATGTATAAAGTACAAAAAAATAGAAATTATAACTCTTAAATTTGAAAAAAAAATCTCTATATTAATGTAAACTACAAAGAGTGTAAAATATTAAAAAATAGAAAATAATATATTAAAAAAGTGAGAAGAACTAATACATTGAGCACGTCAAAAATTTAATTAAATATATACGGAGTATATTAATAAAATATTATAATTTATTTTAGATAAAAAAATTAAAAAAGAAAATTAATGTGACCTAAAAGAGTGTAAAATTAAAATAAAGTCACAGAATTAAAAAACGAAAAATTAAAATAATGAAATTGAAAAAAAAAGAATGGAAGTTTTTAATTGTAATGTTTCTTGAAATACTCAAAAATTTAATTATTATTTTTTATCATTTAATTAATAGTTTTTGTTGCCTATGGTTTCTTTGTGTTTCTTTTTGTTCATATTTCTATTTTTTTTTGTTTATTATTGTTTATTTATGTTTCTAGTTGTTGTTCATATTCATTAAACCAAATTTAACATTGAGGTGTTTCTATATAAGTTTGTATAGATATTCATTTTTTAAGGATGTAGAAAAATAAATAGAAATCTAAATAAACAACAAAAAACTGAATATAAACAATAGTGAAACATGGTGCAACAAAAAGTAATACGATGCAACAAAATGCAACACAATGCAACAAAATGCAACATGATGCAACAAAATGCAATATATGTGATACAACAAAAAGAAACAAAAAATAATACTTTAATTTGTATATGATAGTATCACAACAAATTTACAATTCAATCTATTATTTCAATTTACTAGATTTATCCATCATATTATTTGTCTTTACTTCTTATCATTTCTTCTCCCGTATTCACCCATATTGACATTAGTGTCTGTGTGCCTCACCAAAGATTGATTTATCGAATTTCTCTTATTCAGGATTTTGATTCACATATCATTGATTGGTGTTCTCCATATCAGTTGATGGTGCGGCTTCCCTGCAAAATACAAATCTTTTAAGCAAAGGAAACACTCAAAGAGCTAAGTGCATTCCAACTTAATTTTGATTATTTACACCATTTTCCCAAATAGCAATCAAGGACTTAGCAACAAATCACAACAATTATAAATTTATAACACTAACCATAATAATGATCTGTAGAATAAAGTAAATTGAAACCCACCCCGAACATTATAACCGTTACTTTGCTAGGAAATTAACAATCTATGGTAGGTAACAAAAATGCAAGATTATGATTAACCACACTTCAAGCACACAGTACCTATATAACAAACACAAACACCATAACCAAGCGTTGTAGCATCATTTATCTCATTCATAACGACCCTTTTCACATGAGTACCAGGTACTCTATACAAAATGAGGGTTTAGACAATCTCAAAGCCATAAGACACAACCTACTCCAGTTCTCCCTCTACTGCTTGTGCTATATCATTCTTCTGTTCAAATGCAACATCCAATGCCAGACTTGAGACTCATCTTGATGAAAAACATACTCTATTATAGTAAATTCACTCCATAAGAATAGATTAATTTCAATGCAATAAATCTAAAGGCTTTAATTGGTGATTAAAATTAGGTTGGAAGTCATCATCTAAATTTGTTCTTTTACGTATCAGAAACAACACAGAATCCAAAAGCTATAGTAGTGACTTTAAATAATTATACACATAATTTATGCCTAGACAGCTAGACTAGTTATCAGGACATGTTAAACTCCCAAATCATCTACTTTTTATTACCAAAACATTTGAGTGAGTTCTAAACACTTCTTTATTAGCCTTTGAGAATCAAAAGAAACATAACACTCTGGCAACAGGGCCTTACAGGGGGTGGCAGATTCCTATATATCACAATACTCACTCATAGAAACTAATAATCGCACATTAGGATATAAAATAAGAAAATCAAATCAAGTAAAAAACATGAGTTGAAAGGAGAAAACACGAGTCAAAAAGAGAATTTCAACCATTGATATTAATTAATGTCATCTGAATTCAAATTCATATCAGAAAGAAAAATGTAAAAATCGAGATGTAGTAGTAATAGAGTAGTAGTTATTGAGCAGTAATTATCATGGTCTAGACTTATATTCTTTCAAAATTTATCAACCTCGTTAGTTAAACTACACCCTTCAGTTTTGCTAAATATAAGGACCCATCCTTACTGTTACATAGTAGACTCCTTTCCTATCTATATTATTGTTAGTGTGAGTGTGAGTGTGTGTGTGTACGTATTTAGAAGCTGTCAAATACAATGTACTCTACTTTGCTCATTTTTGAATAAAACTTCCTTTCCCAAACAAAAAATGAAGAAGCTGTAAAGTTTTAGAGGAATTGAAAAGGTGCAAATTATGTATATATATATATATATATATATATATATATATATATTAATTATTCTTGTTGTAGCAATTCAATTATAGTAATCATAAAAATTACAAAAACAATACAAACAAAGCAATTCTGGACTTTCAGATTAAGCAATTTATAAAAGCAAGTATAAAAGCAATACAAATTAGCGAATTCAGTCTTTCGAATTACAAGTTTACAAATCAAAATAAATATGTGTGATTACCTTTGCAAAATTAGGTTAGAAACTTAAAAGATCAGAAATTAAGTCGGAGGTAGATGGCGGTCAAATTAAGGATAGTTGGAGGGATTACCTTCTGGTTGATTTCGTTACTCAGCGAGGAGCCTGGGAGCAGTGAGACGATCCAAAAGAGGAGACCGGCGAGTTGGCGTTCCAGGTTGCGATGATTGACGACCATGGCGAGTTAAAGTCGATTCTTCACATAGCCGCAAAGGTGAAGTTGAAGGATTTAATAAAGGTTACAGCCGGAGGATTGAAAAAAAGAGAGGAGAATGGAGGTCGAAGGTACGAGAATCATGGCAGATAAGAAGGGAGATGTGAGTCGGAAGATAAGAGAGGAGAAGTTTTTTCCGTTGAATCTGAGGTGCGTTGAATCTGAAGGGATTTGCAAAACAGCCTAAAAGTGAAATAAAAAAATAAAATTGAAAATAGAAAAGTTAAAAATGAAAAGATAGAATAGTTGGGTCATAAACGATATTCTACACCCAAATTGAGACCATGCGGGTAATTTGCACCGGAGTAATACAGTATCTTCCTACGGAGTATTACGTATTCCATTTCAATGGTGGAGAGTACTTCGAAACTTTACAATTTCAGCCCATTTTTTTTTTTTATAAAATTTTCACCCTCCAACTAATTAATCAGTGAGCTCATCTCTGGGTCTTCTTCTTCCTCTCAAATTGGGTACCCAAATGGAAATATATGCCGGCGCGCTTGGATCTTGCACACCAAATCCTGCGCTTCTTACGTCGCGCGACGGCCCGCATTCTGTCCATGTCAAACCGCCCTTCATCTCTGCCAGCAGACGCCGTAAGCAGTTGCCGTCTTGGTCTTCAAACCTTTTTACTCCCCGTAACTCTGCAAGGACATTCACGCCTACTTCCCCGGGTTATCTTGGCATGATTCCTCGAAGGGCTGCTGCTGCTTCTGTATGTGTTTTTACTAATGGTAGCTTTTATTGTTTTGAAGTTCTACTTCCCAATTTGTTTGTTCAATTTGTGCTTCTTATTTAGAATGAAAAGCTTTAATTAGTCTTTTTATCTCAAAGCCGAAACTCAGAGTTCCTGGAAACTAATTTAGTTATTTATAGTGGTGCCTAGAAGAATTAAATGAAACTCAGAGTTCAATTTTGTTGTGACTATTTCATCATTGAATTGTGTTTGGACTTTATGGTCGAAGAGAACTTGTAGTTGCCCCAATCTTGGGTAGATGAAGTCTGTGTCAGTGAGTTGGCTGCAATTGGTATCAGAAATCTGTATGTGAGGATTGTCTGAGCGGTTTTTTATAAAAAATTCTTCTTGTACACACTTTTTTGTACACATCCACGTATGTGAGGAGCTATTTTTTTGCCTGTTCGGCTGTTCACAGACAAAAAATAGCTCCCCAAAGACGTGTGTAAGGTGGTGTGTACAAATAGTTGTTTCGTTCTTTATTGAGGCTGCATTTTTTTTATGTATGGTTAGATATATTATACAGTATTTTATATTTAGTAATAACACTTTCCTTATCATATTGCGATTTCTTTTCTTATGTTCATTCAATGATGTAGATTCTACAATGCAGGATACTACTGACGATATGTTTGATGATTTGATTGAGAAATATGGAGAGCTAGTATTTAGAAGAAATGACAACAAAACCGCAAGTGAAGATGCTGAGGATGATGCTCAAAGTCTATTGTGTAAGCTTCTCACATCTACAACTTATTTTTATTGCAATTCCTTTCTGTTGTTCAGAATTGACAGTTTGGTTGGCAAATATCTTACCTTATTGACTTCTTCTCCATGTACTTTGTACAGTCCTTGAGAGGGCTAGTAATTGATATATTATGTGTCATTTGCTCAGTTGCTGTAGCAGTAGCTAATGTCGCGAATGACGTGAAGGCTGCTGACATAAAAGTTCTTTTTGTGAAGCCCTTGGTTTATTGGACTCGGTTTTTCATCATTGCCACTGCCATGTCTCGTCCACAAATTGATGCCATTGCGTAAAAACCGCACCTGTATTTAGAATCTGTTTCAGCACAGTTTATTTATTAACCAACCAAATCTACAGACTTTGACCCGGTGGAGTATCTTAAGATGTTGAGTGTGTTCTTTTGTGTGTAGGACCAAAATAAGAGATTTGGGTGAGAAGCAATTCGGAAGAGTTGCATCAGGAGATTTAAAACCAAATTCATGGACTTTGCTCGACTTCGGTTTGTAACTCAAATTATTCCTTTCGACACCAATTCACCATTCATTAAGCATCTGTACTTGCCTATAATAAGAATATACGAAGTAATTGATAGTGGTAACTGGTAAGTGGTCACACTTGCCTGACACAGTCTCACACGCGTCATTCCCACGATAGCTATCACTTTTAAGGTTAGGTCAGAATGAAATACTTTTAGGCTAAAAATCACTACGACCTCCGTCCCACTAAAAAATTCCATATTTGTTATTTTAGGTCAAAGATATACTCCCATCCGTCTCATAAAATTTGAACAAGTTTGTTTTCCATGTGGAATAACAAAGTAAAAGATGTGTGGTTGAGATTTGTGCAGAAGAGTGAGAAATGACTTTAACCACATATGGAGTATTTATTACTTTAAATGAAAGCGACAAAGTCTTATGGGATGGAGGGAGTATATTTTTATAAAAAATGCTGTATAATATGAAGTAATATAACAACTTTCTTTCTTAAAAATTCTCTCATAAAAGCACAAAGTTTAAAATCTTCACCAAAATATATTGATTTAATTCAAACGTTGATCAAATTTTAGCACATTTGATAAAAAAGTCAAATATGGCAAATCATTGTCGGACAGAGGTCACTTATCGAAACACTTTGTTTTTCACTGAATTCGAAAAGTGTGTTTAACCAAAAAGTGTTGGTTTTGAGACTTTTGACTTCAAAAGTGTGATAGGTGTCACAGAGTGAGCGCCTTGAGACTCTTGCTCACAAATTCTAAGCTAATCCACACCTTTATATTGGACTACTTGTATAATAAGATTGACTATTTAGGATGAAATATCAAGTTTTGATATGATATCGAAGCTAAGCTCCAACCAGTAATTGAAACTTGATAAACCTCAGCAATGAGCGCATTGATTTGGTCCGCTAATAAAAACTTAACATTGAAGTAACTTTCTAATAAAGATGACACAAGAGTTTCTATATAATAATTGCACTGTGCAAAAAGAGTTCATTCTCTCAGATGTACAGTCTATTAACTCATTGCAGGTGACATTGTGGTACATATATTTCTGCCTGAACAATGCCAGTTATATAACCTTGAAAAGTTTTATGGCAATGCAACACCCATTGATCTGCCATTTGAAAACCAACAATTTCAGCGTTCACAATATTTGCAAAATTCGAGCCCTCATGAATAATTAATAGATCATCATAAAGCCGGATAAAGAAGATGCTCAAGAAACTCCAAGGAAGCACTAAACATTAGTGAAGTCTCATGACTTTATAGGCTGATTTTCGCTGATGGTGTAAATGTGTAAATGACAGTTTCATGAGTTTTGATGAATTATTGTGCCTTAAAAGGACCGATGCCTAATATTGTAGTCTGGTGTTTAATGCATTAGAATGTATCTACATTAACTAGCTGTGTTTTAGTTTGATGTTTTACTTTTGTTCGTTGTTGTAATTCTAATTTGTTTAATACTACGTATAAAATAATTCATTTTACCGTCATTTTACTTGGGGCACTTTTTATTTGACACAATATACAGCTATTAATGGTTTGTTGAAATGTTGAATAAAAAAAACTTGTTTGGGCGTGAGCCCCACTAGTGGACTGGTTAGAAAATAAATACATTGTCCATAAGAGACCGGTTGTTAGCCCTGTTTATCAGCTTATTAGACTTACCGGTTAACTTTTTCACTAAACACGTAGATTTTTCACTTCAGTCAGAACTTCATAAATTTCAACAAAATCAGCCGATTCAATCAAATTCAATGTTACCAAACGGACTTTTAACTACATAAAAATACAATTTGTATTCCATTTGTACTTCATATCTATGGGGTAATAATAATTCAATAAGAATGTTTTAATTGGATTGGTTTCAGTTATAGACCATGTTAGACTTAATCAGATCAAACAAGACAATATCAAATCAGATTTCAATAGTTATAAAATATAAATAGACCAAACATCCATTAGATCAGAAAATTTCAGTCCAATTATAAGCATTCTGAATAAAACATAGTCTAAGTTTGCTAATAAGAGTCACCACAAGAAAATAATGGGATTGACACGGATCTGCTAACACTACCAGAAAATATAATCTGCCTCTTGTTATAGTATTGCCATCCCGCCATCATGTAAAACTTCACAATACCAATACAAAATGACATAGCCATCAATGTATATTTGGCAACTTTATTGATAAAAAATGGAATTTTATATCAATAATGGAATTTTATGTATTAATCACAACAAAAGAGTCGAAATCATCATAATAGTATAAAATCGGTAGTATAATACGGAGTAGTATAATACAGTACCATGTAAAACCAAACACCGTACTTTTAAAACAATGTTGTCTTCTTGACTAAGTACCGACATAATATATTCTACTAGTCTACTACTATATGTCATTTTGTTAATCATTCAGATTATGGCAAATTGGATCAGGAATCATAAAAGAACAACTTTGCTCTGTGTATATGGCGGATTTTTGTAACAAAATTTTTCATTTTGTAAAGAGAATTGAGTGTCACAACAAAAAGAAATTTGTTAGTGTCACACACAATTCTATTTATAAAACAAAAAAAATTTATCTTGTACAAAGAAAAACCTGGTGGGTACAATGGCAAATACGAGCCGACGTGTAAAAACTACTACAAATAACAATTTCCTAAAAGGAATGGAGGGACAAGTATAGGCTAATAAAAACATTACGTGGATAGCACGTAATTTGCCATAATTTGAATGATTAACAAAGTTAAGATTACTCTCTGTTAATAACACTCAGACACGGGTGTGCTCTCTTTGTCCCTTAACCATCTTAATTTGGATAGCACTCACTCTAACTAAATGACATATAGTAGTAGTATATATTATGTCGATACTTGATCAAGAAGACAACCTTAATGATATCATTATGTGGTTGAATAGCCGACATATTAATGAGAAACTTGGATGATCTATTGAGGACCAAGGGGGTTATTAGGACTTGGATGAGCTTCATTTGGAAGTCCTATATCCCACTCAAATTTTCTTTTAATGTTTGATAAGCTTTTAGAAACCGGTTACCAACACAGGATAACCCCGATTACCTCCATATTGTTAATATGTGTGATCTTTGCAAGGGTGGGTTGGAATCTACCACACACCTATTTTTCCTTTGTCCATTTGTAGCTAGGGTATGGATGAACATAATGAATTGGATTGGATGGGAGCATCAAATGACTACCCTATATAGCTCGGTTAAATGGATCTTTAAGAAGCATAAGGGAGCAACATTGAAGGCAAAGGCATTTCGGCTTGCCTAGTGCACTACCATTTATTGGATTTGGCATGCTAGAAACTCTAACCAATTTGATGAGGCCAACAAAACGTAAGAAGAAATTGTGGCAAAGATTAAACATGTGGTCTATAAGATACTTTTTAGTATCTATCCACATGAGATGATTGACTTCTGACTTGAGTGGAATCCAAGTATTTTTTGCATGCCACAAGCTAGTTTATAGAATTATTTGGTGCAATGCGCGTGCATCTTGCAGCACTACGTGAATAGTTTTTTATTTTTTGGGAGCCATAATGTTTTGGGCCCTGACTTAGATTAGATGACAAGACTCTTTCTCGTTTCTTAGCCTCCTTTTTATTTATGACAAGGGATATTAAATTTTGAACACATGTATTTGTTACCTTTTTTCTTGGGTGTTAATATAGTAAGTATTTACCTTTCATCCAAAAAAACATTATGTTCGATTATATTCTCCTAAGCCAAGTATTTTATACAAAGTCAATTTTCTTCAATTGAGGTGACTGGTAGACTTTGGACAAAACAACCACCACCACGTTTTTGTTTGTACCTAAAAAGTGGTACTGACACCAACTCCGTAGTATGTGGTTAAAATCGATAGTCCGTATACGTTACAAAGATTACTAAAAAGGGAGTATCAAACTAAAACACAAAATAATGCTTTTATACTCCGTAGTAAATCCTACTTCCTGCCCAATTAAAGTTCAAAATTTCTGTTTCTACCTACTTTTATACTAACTCTTATGCCTCATTCACGAAAAAAAATCTTCTTACAGACAGTGCATATAAGAGTCAGTATAAAAATGAGTACAAGTAGTTTGTTTTTCTTATTTTTGTACAAAAACTCAATGACGATTGTTTGTAGTAAGAATTTTATCGTGTGAATAGTATCAATATAATAAGCATTCCATAACAATAAAAACATGTTTGGTTTAAGGAATGTGAGATTACCATGAGAATGTTAGATTATTGAGTACGTTAGATAGATGAGAATGTGATTAATGTATAACTCATTTGTGTTTGGTTACGATTAAGGGAATGCCACATTAAGTTGCTTGGTTGAATATTATCTTATATTGCATATTTGGTGAATTACTTGAATGCCCTTTAAATATTTGTCTCTTAACACATTAAACTTATTACAACCTAGAATTGAAGTAATTAAAACTATAGAAAAATAAAACATCTTAATAATAATTAATATCAAAACTAATTGAATTAATTCTAAGCAAAGTATATTTAATTGCACGAATGACTAAGATTTGTAAACATTAGTAAATAATTTTAAGCAAAATATGTTTAATTGCACAGATGACAAAGATTAGTGAACATCAGTAGCAAAAATACTTGTATTAGATTAGTCTCTTAATTCACTTTTCCTTTTTCCTATGTTACCTGTTCTTTTTTTTAAAGGAAAAAAGATGGCATCTTTGCCTAGCTTCCTATAGTTCACAATCTTCCCACCCTCTATAGATTTGTCTACACGGAATTAATCACCCTATCTTCATACATGTACCTAATTCACAATTTTCCTACCCTTAACGGAATCTTCCTGTAGTTCACAATCTTCACAATCTGTGCTCCTTTAATCACCCAATTCACACGGAATTAGTCTAGGCGCATCAGAATTTGTTTAAGGCTCCTTTAATGAGAAAAGAATAGCACAACAATTAGTTTAAGAGTTAAAATCTTGCCGCATTCACTGGAAGGAGAGAGCTGCGCTTGACGTTCGACTGAAGAAGAGAGAGCCGCGGTAATATGATATGTCGATTAATGAAACATGAGTTTTTTTTGGAAGAAAATTAATAAGTCACCAGAAATCGTACAAAACCTAAGGCATTAGTGGGTTTGACATGCCTGGTCATGTGATCACCTTTTCCACTTTTGGGAATGTAACATTTCTCAAAAAAATCAAACCCGCGAACCAAACACAGGTATCTCACATTCCGGGCATGAGATTCCGCCATGTATAAGATATTACCTTGAACCAAACATTGCCTAAGAATTTTAAGTTCTCTCTCCATATTGAAATGTTTGCTATAAGAGTTTTTTTTAAAGAGAAAAGTAACACTAAGTAGTAAGAGTAATGAATAGTGTAAACAAGTAGGACATATGACAAAAAATGAGTTTTGCCACCTTTATTCCTCCGACTATTACGTCAATAGCACTTTTGGTATTCAACTTTGATGTTTTTTCACTTTTAGTCCTTCAACTATTGTGTGAAAGCCATTTTTGATACATATCTTTGAAAATTTTCATATTTAGTCCTCCGACTTCTATAAAAATGACACTTTTAATTCTTGAACTATTATGAATCTTCAAACTCAAGTTAAATTATTGAAATACATTCTCTCTTGTGCGATAGCTTAGGCGATGTGATTTTTTCAGTAATTGGTGACTTATATTAAATTTCCGCGTAACTAGTAGATTTTCTCATGGTTTGGTTTTCGAAAGTTCCATTAATCTATGTTTAATTTCGAGTGTGGAAGTGTGGAATCCATAGAAGGGGAGAAGATATATACTACGTATATATACACATATACTCCTATATTATTTCCTAATTCTTTGTTACCAAGGATGGATTTAGGGGAGAGACCGCCCCCCTTTAGACTTTCAAAAAAATTATTGTATATGTAATATTTTTATAATTTTTATACTTTAATTATATATATATATATGTGTGTGTGTGTGTTCGCCTCCCTTAACTTTTAGTTTTCAAAATTTTATATAGCATCTAAAATAATTTACATAACTTAAACAAAAACAATAGAGTAACTCATTATTCAAGACTTAGGATACTTATTATACGATAGTATAAAAATTTGGGAAAAGTACAGAAAAAGTACCTGTGATTTGGGCCGTTTTCAGATAGGGGCACATGTTTCATTTTTTAACAAAGTGAGACATGTGATTCAATTCCGTTATCACAGCAGGGGCATGGCGTCTAACGCCGTTAGAAAATTTAATCCCGATTTTCAAAAGTTTCCGAAACTTTAAAAGAAAAATACTGGGAGGTGCGCCTCGTCAAGGAGATCAACAAACTATCATTCTCTATGAATTTTTCGGATCTATTTGGATTTTTTTAAATGAATTTGTTAATATCACTTTTCCGGCGGATTTTTTGGCGACATGGTGACTGGAAACAAAAAAAGAAAGATAGTTTGTTGGTCTCCTTGACGAGGCGCATCTCCTAGTATTTTTCTTTTAATGTTCCGAAGACTTTTGAAAATTG